TGTGTGCATGTGTTGCAGACGTGTGTGCATGTGTGTGCGTGTGTTGCAGACGTACTGAACCTTTCACTCCCTGCATCATCAGTTCATCCTCTTGGTGAGGGCAGCATGTGGTATGAGCTCCCAGAACCAGTAAGCCTAAGAAGGTTTGCTTGTTTTTCAGCTTTTGTATAGTTTCAGGGTCTGTTTCCTCTATTCTGAAAAGCCCCGACGTCCTTCCCTAAAACTTTGAAATATTCGGTTTTGATAACAGACTTTCAGCTGGCGTTAAAGAGCCTGCCGTGGGCTGGCCAGCGAGGAGTCGGCCGGAGAGTTAATAGAGCACCAGGCTCCAGGCACTTCCAATAACATCCCTTTGCTCCTAAGATAGCAACGTAACAGGTGATACCCGAAGGAAACCTCAGGGCCTCCCCTCTTGAAGGCAGAAGCACAGGCTTATTTCAGCCGGGGAGGGAGGATCGGCAGTAATCAACCTGAGATACCCGCACGTATGTGGCACACGGCAGCCGTTCTGTCGTCTGTCCCGTCAGGGCGCCATTCCCAAGGCAACAGGGGTGTCGGTTCTTATTTGGAACATTAATTTCAATCTCCGTTTATTTCTTTCTTCTAGTCGGCTGTCAGGGCCTCCAGTCATATTTTTGAACACCATTTTTATTCACAGTATTTTATTTTTCCCCCCAGAAGTGGCGACTAGTGTTGTGTTGTTTCTCAAAACAAGAATAGTAGTTCTGAAATTGAAGCATTCCAATGGGCTGTTGAAAAGCTGCTCTTAATTCAGAAGTTGCAAAAAGCTAGAAGACTCCATTTTGTTAGCATAGCTATAAGCTATTCAGCCACTCAGCTAATTATCATGTTGTCTACTTTGGACCTCTCTGTGTCGTCTGCCTTGTAAACCTACAAAGGTTTTCATCTTTCCTTAAACTCTCCTGCCAACACCGTGCTTATATCAGCAGAGTGGCAAAACTCAACTCTGAAGGGTGTAGTATTATAAAAGCAAACTGTTGGCTTAGCCTACCTAGGGCAAAACCCAAGTGAAGGAAGATCTCAGAGGCTTTCCGCCTTTCTATATTCTCTCTTTCCATAAGCAAATTTCTGCTCGCGTATCTAAAGAACGAGTCTACAAAACACAAGCAGCAGGAAATAGTGCTCTCCACTGGATTTTAACGTTCCTGAGATGTTTGCGTGCCGCAAAATAGCATTCCCCCTTTACCGTGCGAATCAGAGTCAGAACGTTACAACAGGAAGATACTCTCGCAACATAAACTGTGCATGTGGTTTAGAGGGGGAGAAAATTCCCGGCGGTGTGTGCAATGGTCGGTTCAGAGCAATGTGTGGAAATTCCGTGACAGGAGAGATACCAGAAGGAGCAGGACAAGCTGAAAGAAGAGTGGGAAAAGGCCCGAAAGGAGGTGGAAGAGGAAGGACGCAGATACTACGAGGAGGTAGGAGACCCCCCAGAGGAGTCTGACCTTGTCGTCCCGATTCCTCGGTCCGTCGGCACTGCCCGAGTCCCTGGCGTGTTCACGCGTGGGGCTGTGTCTGCCTCGTTACCCGCCGCAGAGTCCCATCAACCCCTTCAAAACCGTCATCATACAGCCCCTAAAAGACCACAGTTCCCCCCGAAAGACAGTTTGTGTTAAGGGTGAGCTGAGCCACGTTCAGGAGGTGATACAATCCTGTCTGTTCTCCAGCCAGCGAATCGAATTCTTGATTTATCTTAGAGGGTTGACGTGAAGGAATCAGTTTATTTATCTGTGTGTCTGTGTGTTGTTTGGTAATAGCGAATCAGTTTTATGAGACTAATTTTGATAATCGAGGCTGAACGAACGTATCCTCACCCCGCATTTACTGCGTAGTTCTAAAGAGACCTGGAAGGGAAGAGAAATTTCTCTTCGTTCATTTTGCTTTTTTTAAATAAACAAGCCGGAGCACATTAGAGAATTTAAAGGGGACTACATTTTATCTGTATTATCTGAAATTTGTTCATGATTAATATTGTTGTGAATTTTATCTTCAACAATAATGTTTGTGCATAATCAGATCCCGATTGCCATTTCTAATTAAGGCTCCTTGCATCGTACTAGCTGATTAATTTGCAAAGACTTTGTTTTTCTAAATTAAATGCTAATTTCTAAATTATTGCCATGGAGAGTGTTACATGATTTGCATACTTTTGGAAAATAACACTTTTTTTTTTTATGTCCTGCTCGTTTGCACATATTCTGTTTTTTTCCCTAAAGTTCCTTAATGACATTTTTCTCTCGACAAATACGGTTATTCATTTTTTCCCCCTTTCGTCGATTCTTGCCCTTCCCCTTAGGAGCGTAAGATAATCGAAGACACCGTGGTTCCATTCACTGTTTCTTCAAGCTCCGCAGACCCGCTGTCCGCGTCCTCCTCTGTGACCAACAGCAGCGGGGCCATGGTGAGACCATACGTTAAAAGCGATACTTGAAATAAATAAACCTGAGTAGAAGTGCAAAACCACAAGGCCAAGTTTTCCCATCGTGCTCAGTAGTTTAAATCCGAGACTGGCTGCTTCCCTAGAAAATACGTCACGTCATACGCCAAGTGCCATTTGGCCATTGCACCTCAGCATACTGTCACTGCCGTGGCCACCCCCAGAGCCATTTCCTGAGGCTCGGTATTACCCTGGCCAGACCCATCCCAACGGGCCGTCAGCCAAAGTCCCTCCACCCCCGGCTGGCAGGGTCTCGGTTAGCGAAGCCACGTGCTGGCCTGTCCTCCTCACTGCTCAGTTCCCGGATCACTCATTCACTCAACAGACGTCTGTTCCTCTCTGCCCTACCGTACGTTCCTGTGCACTGTTTGGCAGCAGCAGAGATGCCAGCAACGTGTTCTCTACCACCCTCCACAGAAGTTGCTTCTAACCCCAAAAATTCCACAAGAAATTTATATGTGTCTTTGAGGACTGGAGAGAGTCTAAAAAGGCTGGTCGACCTCCACGTCCCCCAAATACTATTGTAGAGGGTCGTGGACAGAAGTCATTCCAAGACCCAGATAGTCCGTAATCTGCACAAAGTAACATAACCGGGGAGACGAGGAAACCATTGGCCCTGAAATGAGCAGTCCTGTGACTTTGTTTTATTTTGAAAGGGGGGTTTTCTAACCAATTCCTTTTTCTAATAACTTTGGAGCTAAGTCCAGATTAGACATCTATTCCAAATAGTTGGAAGTCAGTTGCCATTCAGTTAATCTGGACAACTATTCTTTAAATTGCAGGCAACGTGATCGAAAAATACTTCAAAATACCCCACGGCCAGAGATAAGTGTTGTACAGTGTGTTTAAAATTTATATTTAAGATTATCCTGGTTTTTCCCCTTAGAATAAGAAGGACTTGGAGAACTGTCAAGATGAAACACAGGAGAAAAGACAGAAGAAACCATTCCCAGAGGGCGACAATGACTTACTGCTTAAGCCCAGGGAAGGAGATTCACCGGAGCAGAAGGGCAGGTATGAGCTGGACCAGCTGCCCAGGAGCACGTGCAGAGCCGGGCTCTGCTCATCCACTCCCGGGAAGGGGCCCATTGCTAATGCAGATTACATGCAGCTTTGAAACGATCATTCCGGTAATACATTACGTACCGCTCGGACATGTTGTAATAGCTCTGAGTCAGTGTCCTTGCGCTCTTGAATACAAATAGCCTCGTTTTTAAATAGGCGAAACCTTTTTCAGATAAGGGGAGACGGTATCGATCATCAGAAGAGGATGTTGTCAGTGCAAAGCCCCAAACCGAAATACTGCTCACTTGACATGGGGCATGTGATTGGAGGGATAAGAGGTTGAAATGAGGCCCGGGGTGCCGGTGATCTTGGCCGTTAGCGTCCCCTGAGCTACGAGAAGCCACACTTACTCTGGTGACGATATAAAGCAGCGGTCCCCAACCTTTTCGGCACCAGGGACCGGTTTCATGGATGACAATTTTCCCACGGACCGGGGTGGGGAGGAGGGTGATGCTTTGGGGATGACTCAAGTGCATTACATTTATTGTGCACTTTATTTCTGTTATTACTGCATTGTAATATATAACGAAATAATTACACAACTCTCCATAATGCAGAATCTAACGTGGCTTCTGATGTGACAGGAGGCGGGGCTTTGCTAGCTGGCCGCCGCTCACCTCCTGCTGTGCGGCCTGGCTCCTAACAGATATAAAGGGTTGGGGACTGCAGATATAAAGGATAACCAATTAATTAATTGGCTGTGGGTAATCACCCCACCTGTGGGCTCCAGTATGTTCCATGGGAGGTGAGGAAAGAACAGCTGGAGCCCCCTGGAGCCCGCAAAGCTAACTCAGATGGAGCAGATCTGCTTGTGGCTATGGGCTGCAGCAGGTCACTGATGCCACCCCACACCCAGCCGAGAAGGGACCTGCAGAAAGCCCAGGAGGCTGCCAGGGCTCTGCCATCAGCACGTTCTTCACGGGACAGACGTTGGCCTCTGGGGCTCTGAGATACCAGATAGGTACCGGCAAGAGTGCACGCATGTGCCCACGCGCACGGCACCCCCGCAGGGACCCGAAGACGAGAACAACTGTCTCAGTGTCACCTTCAAAGACTGACTAACTCGACAGGTTGGCCGGGAGCCGAGTTCTCCTGGCGCGGGTCTGCTCTGAGGATTCTCCCGTGCGCGTCAGCTCGCAGACTGGGCGAACTATAAGCTCCAGGAGCTCAAGGCCCGTGTGCAGGGACCACAGAGCCCTTCAAAGAACACGCGTGTTTCCCGTGAACACGGTTCACTGGGACTTCCCAGCTTTATGAAATGAAAACCACGGTCGGGAAGATTTGAATGATGCTGAGAAGCATTTGCGTGAATTTTTGCTGTTTCTCCAGACTGTCCCTGCTGCCCCCAGACACCCCCCTCTGTCTCCTCCGTCTCTCCTCGCACACAGAAGCCGCCGTAAGGCCAGTGCATCGCCGTGGACTGCAGAGGTCCTGCGTGGCCCAGATGATTTCTGTAAAAAGTCCTCTCTTGTGACAATCTGGGAGATTCCAGTTAGCTGGGACATCCCTTGAAATTCTTAGAATGAAGAGCTTTGTGGACAGGGTGGTCATGAAAAATGATAGTTTGTTGCAGCCGTTAAATCGATGGATAATAAAAATGTGTAGTGTGTTATCATTTTAAGTCCATTTCAAATCCGGTTTAAAATGAGAGGAACAAATAAACATTTCTTTAGTCCTGTCCCTTTTTTTATATCATAATTGGTACTTCCACACCCCAAGGGACAGGACCAATAAGTTCAATTCAGTTGCTTTTGTCTCTGTTCTGAAATGTACTTCTTTATTCTAACAGCGTAACTCACGGGGCCTTGGCTCACTCCGAGAACCCCGTGTCGAAAGGAATCCGCCAGGAGCCTCAGCTGGACACCGAGGCCGGGGCCCCGCACCATGGGCCGAACCCACAGCTCGCTCAGGGTAGGAACAGAGAGGACCAGCCCCGGTGTTTGGATTGTTGTTAAGACCCCCACGTCATCCAGACAGACGCGATCCCTGCTTGCTGCGGGTATCTCCCTTAGGGGACTGGACTCCTAGCTCACACTACATACGTAGTGAATAGACTCCCTCTACCACGTGCGCAGACTACGTAAGCTCCCTGGGGACCCAGTGAGACCTGAGCAGGTATTAGCATTTAAACAAAAGAAGATAACTTTGCAGAAAACCTTTGTCCTTCATGAGCGGTGCATTTTGAGACTCCCTCAAATCTTCCAGTTTCAGCACTGGACGTAATGTCCCCACACGAAGCTTATGGAAGAGTAGAATCCATAAAGCCGAGCTGAGATACGGGTGCCGGAAGGTGGGGAAGGTCCCATCAGCTCCTGCTGCCATTTCGCCGCCGTTCCCACCTGTGTCTCTCCCATCCCAGGCTCCCCACGACTAAATTCAATGTGCTCCTCACCAAAGCGTCAAATTCTACCTGCTAGGGCCTTCGTCTCGAGATCACTGAAACTTCAAACGTTGACTCCTATAACGAGGAGTCTGAGCTAAGAACAAAAGGGTGACCCCGATAAATGTGTCCACAGCCAAAGCAAATCTGGCTGAGCAAATACACATGTTTCCATGGTGGAATTATTGCGTTCGGCCTTGTGCTTTTTGGCGTTCTGTCTGTAAACATATTCGCGCAGGTTGATTATAATACGTAAACACTGACTTGTGCGTGTCCTCGCGCAGAGCTACCCTGCGAGCTGAATGTCATCGGGGCCCTGCGGATTTCAGCATCGCAGTTGCCGTGACCCATGGCTCGGGAAAGCGGTGGCTGTTTGCTGTGTTTTAGAAATTAGGTGCCGGGGTATAACCGCATCCACCCAAATTTGCTTTCTGTATGCACAGGAAGTCAGTAGTTTAACGTATCGTTATGATATTATTGCATCAGAAGTCAGGGAGGCAAAAGGGTCTGGCTCCCGATCTCCTTTGTTTCCAGAACTAATTCAGGGCACAGCGGCTTAGAGACCTCAGCAGGCCCTCGCGCTTTAAAGACAGGTGACTTACGGGGCACTAAGATGACCTTACCGAGCACTAAGTCTGTGTTTTCTGCTTGGCTCAGATCCATCCCAGAATCAGCAGACATCAAACCCAGCCATGCACGCCGCAGAAGAGATGAAGCCAAAATCCCTGCCGCTGGATAAAAGCGTTAACCATCAGATCGAGTCCCCCAGCGAAAGGCGGAGGTGAGTAACCAAATCAGACGGACGTGGGATCCTTTTTTTTTTTTCTTTTAATTTACTGACTTGGAAAAAATGCAGAAGGGTATGATGGCGAGATGTCAGCAGCATTTTGTGTTTTCTCTCTGTTTAATCTCACGGACAGGGGTCTGTGGAAGGTGGGGACAGTCTTCCTGGCAAGTAAATGTATTGATTTGTAAGAGACAAAGTTATGTTTTTAACCCACAAATCTAACCATTGGAAGGAATTTGCAGGCCTGTTGGATTAGTGATTTATTTAAGTGAGTTAAATTGTCTCGGAGTATAGACAGATGCTCTTTCAAGGAGAAAAATTGTCATTCTCTCTCTTATGCTCTCCAATTAGGGTAGCTACCTTAGGTTATATTCTAATTTGGTAAGAATACATTTTTTGCAATAATAATTGTTTCTGTCATTTTTTAACCATGTCAACATAACAGGCACTATGTTGAACAGTTCACATGTATTTCGTTCCTGTTCTTTTCGTGCCTTAACTCACTGAACCCTCCCCATAGCTTTATGAGGTTGTTCTTCCCATTTTACAGATGAGAAAATTGAGGGTCGGGGAAGTTAAATAACTTACCCAAAGTATTTGACTGGTCAAGTGGTCGAGGAATTCAGAATGAACCCACAGTTTCACAGTGAGATTGTGTTTGAGCCAGAGGCTCCTTGTCACCCCAGAAAATTCCTTACGTTGCAACCAACCGTTCTACCTAGGGCCAGACCACGTCCATTCAGATTTTGACTCTGCCACTTGCCTACATAGGATTTTGAACTAATTACTGAATCTTTCTCTGCCTCAGTTTTCTAATCTATAAATTGGGAATAATAATGGTACCTACCTCTTAGGGTTTCATGCCTGGCTAATATAGTATAATAAGTACTCTACATTGCAAGTGATCATGATGATTTTAACTTGTTTTATAAAAGAAAAATATTCATTTTTACCTTATTGTTACGTTTTCCTTTACTTCAATAGAGTGTTTGAACCGCTTCCCCTTTCTCTGTTCTGTCTATCCTATGTCGATACGACACTCAGAATCAATCGAAGCTGAAATCACACAAAAGGAATCATTGCTGTTATGGATTATTGCAATGGAGTTCAACCTTTTTGCAGGCGTTAGTACTCTAGGCTATTCCATAGAAATGTGGTATTTTGGAGGAGAGAAGCTCTGCCCAAGGAGGGAGGTTTGGGTGGGCAGCGGCTCGGGGAGTTGCGCCGAGAGCAATCAGAAGACGGATGGGCTCACGCTCTGTTCGCATCTGTCTTGGAGTTTTCCTTTCCCTGGCTCTTTTCTGTGTCCTACCCCTTTCTGTACAAATGAAATTAACTTTCAAACGCCAGAGCCCAGAACCGACGGCTTGACCGCAGGCGGGGCGGGTGTGCGGCCATCCCGCTGGCGTCTGGCTGGGGACCGTCCCAAACGGGCGATGCCCAAGACCTGGCAGTGGCTGCATGTTTGGAACGCCGCCCTTCGTCACATGCACCCAGCCGAATTTGTTGATAAGGGTGGAAACCACCTCACTGAAAATGCATCCTTTGAGGTCTGCCCTTTATTCCTGGGCTCTATAAATTAGGAAAATATTCCGTCCCTTCTGCTCGACAGTGCCGGCATGCCAGGCTGGCTTCGATTTTATGCAGTCAGTGCATGTGAAATCCTGGCTAGACGTCATTACTACTTTTGTTCTTTAAAAAAAAATCCCTACTAGGAGACCCTGCGGTCTTTGGTTTGGTTGTCAAGGAAGGTTTTTTTTTCCTTATCTGAAATGTCTTTTCTTGTGGAGCTGGGCTTCTCTGCACTTGTCGTGATCTCTGGCTCCTTTACCGTGTTGCAGGAAAAGCCCCAGCGAGAACCTCCAGGCCGGGCCCCGGTCCCCGTGCTCTCCCACCCCTCCCGGCCAGTCGCCAAACAGGTACAGGAGGTCAGCGAGCCTCCCCGAGGCTGCTTTGTTCTGACTAGGGCCCGCCAGGCATCATTCAGACCGAGTCGGGTGATTGGGAGGGATTTCTCCATCCACGTCTCTCCCTGCGCACACACAGGCAGGAGGAAAGAGAACGTCCCCGTCTGCCTGCAGATGGATCAGCCACAGGAGAAACAGCCGGGGTGCGGCCTTGGCAAGCTGTGGCCACAGGCCCATAATCACATTGTGTGGAAGCTGCAATCTAATAATGAAATCCGGCAGACGGCTGCTGGGCTCCGAAGCCGGCGCCTTCCCCTCCAAGACGGCTCAGCCCTGCTAGGCGGGATCCGCCGACGGCTCCGACAGAGAACCGGGCGGAGGCTGAGCAGCGAGGCTGCATCCCTGTCTTATAATCCACTCCCGCTCCCTAACGACTGCTGCTGGACGTTCACCGGGCCCATGATATTCTTAAGAGCTGTCTGAATTTCCGTTCACTGGAGAGACAAATTACTGAGTACACAGCAGTTTTCTCTGATGTAGAAATTTCATGTAACTGCTGGCTAAGAGGGAAGTCCTAATAAATAGGGTTTGCTCAGGGCAACGCTTCCTCTCTCCACTGTCTTCTCTTCTGTTTCTTCTGTCCCTCTGTACCCTGCTGGCTTTCAAATGATACTGCAAATTTTTAAATTTCTTGTGCAATCCAAGAGCTTTTCAGATGGTGAGCCTCATTGCAATGTAACCATCTTAGCTGTATGAAAGCTGCCCTCAGAGGACAGCCGTCTGGCGTCACACGGCTGCTGACCTGGTGTCGGTCTGCTGGTCTGGCTCTAGTCCACGGTGGCCGTGGCAGGGCTGCCGGGGCGCAGAGATGGGGCAGACACGGCCCTGCTCTCAAGGAGTTTACATCTCAGTGAGCAGGCGAGGGTCCGCCGTGTGGATCCCAGAATGTTTGCGCTGGAAGAGGGAGTGGAAATGATCTAGTCCGAACTTCTCCACTTAGAGGTGAACGGGAACCCAAAGAGCGTTCGTTACGCCAGATCACAGAATGTGGCCACAGAGCAGAGATCAGATCTCGTAGCTCAGGGCCCTCTGCCTGGTACCTGTTCTGCTGTATCCCAGTTGACTCTCTATTTTTAAGTAAAAATGGTTTTTTTTCCTTAATAAGTAAAAAGAATGCCCCAGCAGGCTAATGAGCCAATTACAGAAAATTTTAAAGCAACGTTGACACCTTAGGAAAGCTAAGCTTGATTATCTTTTAGAACTTAGGAAAATATATGATAAATGTATTGAATCATTCCAAGGAATTTGAATAGACTACAACACAAACTTCTTGGAATAAATAACTTAAACACACACAGGCACCAGATTCAACACCACGATGGAGGCCTGTCGTATTCAGTCTAGCACTTGCCTGTAATTTATATCTAATGCTTGATTTCCTATTCATTGTCAGTGTAGTAATTCTCATTTCATTCACGATATAAACATCGTAAAAACCCATGTTTTCATTTTTGCATGAGGTTACGTGTTTGTGCGTTTGACCAAGTATTCTAAACTGAAATTTTTATTATTGCGTGTATTTCTGAACCCAGGTCTATAAGCGGGAAGAAGCTATGTTCTTCCTGTGGGCTTCCTTTGGGCAAAGGGGCTGCGATGATCATCGAGACCCTCAACCTCTGTTTTCACATCCAGTGTTTCAGGGTACGTACTCACTGCTCTTCTCGCTAAGTACGGTTTGTGGTGTCTTTTGGCTGTGCTGAGAAATACCTCCTGGGGATGTGGAGGCCTCTCCTTGTGAGGCCTCCCGCTCTAATTCGTACAGCTGTGTGGGTGGGTTCCATCCTTCAGGGTGAAACTCTCCTATCACAAGTCCCTTGGGACGTCAGGCTAGAAGGAGCGAAACAGATTTGTGCGATCTGTCTTTGCAAAACAGTTTTTGTCCCTAAAGAGCGTGTACGCTAGCAGGAAGCTGAGAATGGGACTCTGGGAGATGCTTCCAAACCTTGTAGGGCCACGTGGATTTATTTGGAATATAATAATCTTTGCTGCTTCTTAAACTCTTGTGACTTCATGTCAAAGGGTTTTAGTCTTTCACTTAATGGGAAATTTTCTGTCAATGAAATGGTTATAGCTGGATGCAAAATGGTAAGTCTCAGAATGAATGTGTCTGTAATATCAGATTAAACATCACTGCCTCTGAGAAGCTGCCCTGCTCCCCAGACGAAGTCAGGTGCCTTTGGGATAGGCCCTTAGGGAACCTGTCATGGTCCTTATCACTATTATTGAATTGTTCCATTGTCATCTCCTCTAATAAACTGTAAACTCCACGGGGCAGGGACCCTGTCTGTCTTGCTCACCTCTATTTCCTCCATACCTAGCACCGCAGATGTCAGTAAATATTTTTAGGTGAATGAATTATGGAATAAACTGAAAACGAGAAAGCCTAGATTCTAGTTCCAAATCTCCTGGTAATAAGTAGGTGAGCTAACCAGTTATACCTGATTTGTTATAAAATTTGTAAGTTGGACTATATCAGCATATTCTGTCCTTTTTTCCCACTCGTGGACACACTTCAAATTAATATATAATCTTTGAAGCCAAACCCTCTAGCTCTGAAAAAGAGTCATTTCTTTCGCTGGGTAAGCCTGACCTGCTTTCTTGAATTTTGAATTTAGTCCTGTTTCTTGTTGGTAGCTTCTTTGGCTATAAAACAAATTTGCATGGGTTTAAAATAATTCCTGCTTTGCCTATAAGCTAAGGACAGTGAAGTTGTCCCCAAATAATTAATAATTCCAGTAACCACCTGAAAGCAAGACTTAACAGACAATATATGCATGTGGATATTTATTTTAGATTTCATTTGTCAAAAATATCAGAAGAACACCATAATTTCCTAAATTCTAGTTATGTTACATAGAGAACCATTCCACAAAAGGGCAAGCAAACATATTCCTGTTGTATAATAAAATTAACCTAGGTAGTGTAGGCCCTAAATTGTCTAGGAGTATTGTGAGGCTCAAAGAATATTACTTTTAAAAAATGTTACGGTTATGCCAAGATATGTTTCGACACCGCGTCTGGTTCTCAGAAACTTTACCAGAGCTGGAAATCATCGAGGTGGCAAAGAATCTTTACAGAGTCTCAAGGGGTAGGAGACGGTCAAGCCTTTATTTTCTCTACTCGTTCACTGCCCGAAGCTGCCTCGCCCCATAGATGTGTCCCCCACCCTTGCGATGCGGATGCAGCTTGTAACACCATTTGGATGAAGGCTCCCTCTGCCCCAGGCGACCTCAGAGCATGGAGCGGGGGTGGATGCTGATCTCCCCGCAAGAGCCTGGCACCTGGATCCCCCGGCACTGCCGTCCTCTCGGGCACCACCAGCAGGGTGGATCCCACAGTCTCCTTGGTTGTCTCGGCGGAAGGGGGTTCCCGTCCCTGTGGATTTGTTACTCTGGGTGTCACTGCCTTGAATGTGGAAATGTAAACTGGAACAGC